TGAATTAAATTCATTAAAACGATATTCAAGTTTTTGAAAAATTTGGGTCGGCAAGTAATGCAAAATGAAAAATTAACATTCGTCTAATAGGCAGGACAGATTTCTTCTAAACTTAAGTAAGCTTTCTTGACAACCACCTAACAAAATTCGATAAAGGTATAACAATGTATAGAATTTAAATAAAAAAACTTCATGTAATCTGATTAGAAAATTATATACTCCTCTCAAAGTTTAAAGAAAATTAGCATACTAATAGAAGGGACAAATTCTTTCTAAACTTTAAGCAAAGTTTTTCGATAACTACCAAAATCGATGAATTGTTTTTTACTTCTACACATTAAAATAAAAAAAATCATGAATTTAGTCAGATAAGACAGCTACTTGCTCAAATTCGATGATTTTTTTTTTATTTTAATTCTGTAAATTTATAGAATTAAAATAAAATAAATTTATCGAATTTAGTCTGATAGTTTAAAAAAAAATTCCAAAGCATTTAATTTATTGATAGATGGAACAGATTTTTTTAAACTTTTCTCGATAACCATCAGGCAAAATTTAATAAAAGGTTTTTTTTATCTTAATTGTATGAAAGTGTAAAATTAAAATAAAAAAAGTTTTATAGAATTTTGCAGGTAGTTATTAAGAAAACTTCGTTCAAAGTTTTTAAAAAGATTGCAAAAATTGGTTATGTGTATGTTGGCTGGTGATTAGTTCTGATTGGTTGAACATGCTCAATGAACATTATGTAGAAGTGATCAACAATCTTTCGCTTTTGTCTTTGCCGATCAATGATTATCAATTCATCAGACCATTAAAAAATTCGAAGCAAAAAAAGTCAAAAATGTTAATTACTAAAAAAAATAAATATACAAATTCAGATCGGAACATTTTTAAAAATACTCAGGAGATTAAAAGCCGTATGATATTGTATTTTACGTAAAGATAAAAGGAACATTACTCGAGTAATGAATTACAGAATATAGATTCATTATTATAGAGTAATCTGTAATCTGTAATATTTAACACTACGTAATCGAGTAATCGAGTAACGAGTAAGTAAATTTGCAAAAAAGAATAAACATTTAAACATTGCAAGTGTTTTGAAAATCATCAAGAAAAATCAAGATTTTTTATAATATACAGTTTAACGATTATCAGTAATATTTATTAAGAATCTGACGATCATTTTTTTTATCCAATAAAATCGAACTTGCTCTATGCTCGATTTGCTTAATTAAAGTCTCAAAAATTCGACTCGGCAATGTATTCTAAGACGAGTTTAGCTTTTTGTTCTATTAGAGGTTTCGTCTTTCGTAAGGAGATTTTGTCCTTTTGTCATTCCTCATTTAACAAAAACGTTTTATCTTTCACCGGTTTTAGGTTTCGTCTTTCGTCATCACGTAAAGGTCTCGTCTATCAGCTATAGGCGACGCTATACGACTTACATTCAAACGAATGAACCTTATATTACTAATGAAATTATTTATGTGGAAGGGCATGCTTATCCATGTGATAAATTAACAAATGTGACACCTTCAATTCTATCCAAAACGACGCGTCGATTATATCTTCAACCATATCATCCTATATCAATTCTCCGTAATCATATAGAATCTCATTTTGATAAATTCCATTATTTTAATTCATTTAGTCCAATTGTGACAACTATCCAGAATTTTGATGAACTTGGTTTTCCTGCCAATCATCCAGGAAGAAGTACTAGTGATAGTTATTATATTAACACTTCCATAATGCTTCGAACTCATACTTCTGCACATCAACGTCAAGCTTTCCAAACTGGAGCAGAAAAGTTTTTAATAAGTGCTGATGTTTATCGAAGGGATGAAATAGATACGTGTCATTATCCGGTTTTTCATCAAATGGAAGGCGCTCAAATTTTTTCCATTAATAAAGCTGTTGAAGAAATAGTTTATGATATGCAAAATACTACATCCCAACAAAATCATTATATAAATACTGATGATAAAACTGCTGTTAGTTCCACAAATCCCATACAACCTTGTCACCCTGTTGAGGCTGCTAACGCAACAATTTCTCATCTGAAGTATTCATTGAATGAATTGGTTAGAAAGTTATTTATAGACGAAAAAAATTTGCAAGTCAGGTGGGTCGATGCATATTTTCCTTTCACTAGCCCTAGTTGGGAAATGGAAATATTCTATCAAGGAAAATGGCTTGAAGTGTGTGGGTGTGGTATTATAAATCAGGAAATTTTGAATAATACTGGTAATTAAAATATTGAATACTATAAAATTTATTAAATAATATAAAATTAATTTCTTGTTAATATATTAACTCTTATGTGAAAAGGGCAACCGGATAAAATAGGTTGGGCATTTGGATTGGGTTTGGAACGCATAGCAATGGTGTTATTTAATATACCAGATATACGTCTCTTTTGGTTGAAGGATCCGCGATTTCTCAACCAATTTACTTCTAATGAAATTATTAAATTTAAACCATTCTCAAAATATCCTTCATGTATTAAGGATCTAAGTTTTTGGATGAATAATGACAAGGAATATGAATTTCACATAACTAATTTTTGTGAAATAGTAAGGGACATCGCCGAAGACTTAGTTGAAGATGTAAAATTGGTAATTATTGACATTTTTATAAGGTCAATGGTTTGTATGTTAACTGAATGTATTTATTTAATTTTAGATCGATGATTTTAAGCATCCTAAAACAAAAAAGAGAAGTTTATGTTTTAGAATCAATTACAGGTCTATGGATAGGTAAGCTATTTGTCTACCATGTTTTCATGTTTATCAAACTAAATTTCTATATTGTTGGTTAGAACTTTTACCAACGAAGAAATCAACGGAATTCAGGATAAAATAAGAAAGTCGGTGGTTGAGAAATTGGACGTTACTTTGCGATAAATTTATTAATAGCTTTATTTATAAAAGGCCATAATTTTTATGTACAATAAAATCAGTACTGGTACCGTTGACTATCGCATACGGTACCCGGTTTTCGTTCCGGAAAAATCACAAGTACTTTCCTAGCCTTGCGAGATGATAATTAATAGTGCTCGAATGATTTGATTTTTTTGGCTTTTGAGTAAATTTATACACCGTTAGCTGTTAAAATTTCCATATCTTCAAAAAACAAGTTGTACTTACAGAATTACGCATACATTCAGTAAGAGCTTCCACTGATTTTTTGCAAGCAGGAGAATCCACTGAGCTATTAGACCAACAAGTTAAAACCGCGGCAAGTTCGGCAGTGCAAGAGCCAATTTGTTCAACTCTTCTTGGGCGTAATTTAAGCTTTTTTATTTTCATGACTTTGATGTCTTGATTGAATATATTTTGTCGGGGATGATGCTGAAATTTGGGGTCGTAATTTGAAAATATAAACCCTAATAAAATCCACCTATACTCTTTTATTGTAAACGCTAACCCTAACTTCTAATCGAACTATGAAAAAAAAAGCTGAACAAACACCCCCAAAAATTTTTTAATTTTTCATAATAAAATAAGTCAAAATTTCAGCATCATTCACAGGCGTGAAAAAAATTGGTTGTAGCACCCACGTCAGTTTAATTTTACTTATATTGTTGTGTAACACGAATACAGCCTTTTGATTGGTCAATTTCCGTGTTACTAAGCTAAAATTAAATTTATTGGCTAATAAAAGATATATGTTTTTTATTTTTTTTATATTAAACGCCGAATTTTTAAATTATATACAGTATAACTTTAATTTAATATTACTTCTTTAAAACTAAATAAACCAAAAATTTTTTTATAAAAATTATATATAGTTTATTGTAACTAACAATCTATTAATTGTATAAAAATTTTTTGTATTGGTTTATTTTTTAAAAAGTAATATCAATTTAAAATTTTACTATAAAAACTATATGGTTCACGATAGTGTTCCAGAATTATGATTCAGTACAAGAATTTGCAAGTAATTGTGAATTGTGCGAGACCAGATTACCTTAGCACATGTTTACTGTCCAGAGCGAAGCGGAGGACTCGCGTTTTAACGACCGAAATTACAATTTTGATGCATTTATTAAGAATATAAAAAATTTCATATATGATCAGATTTTTCAAGGGCTAATTAGGGATTGGAACCGCCTAAAATTTTTCTTAATCGTTTAATCGTTTAACTTGGCCGGCATTAAGATAATTCCGGCCCACGACCAACATAATTCTGCCCGGAATTATGGAGCAATTTTTAAACGGTTAAACGGTTCCAATCCCTAGGGCTAATGCCATATTCAAATACTGTATTAAGTAAAACTTATTACCGGTTTTCAGTTTCTAGTTATACAATACTGTAGAAGTTTGAATGATGGTTAAATCTAAATGCATTTATAGGTTTTTGATTAATTTATTGTCGCTAATCATAATGAACTCGGATTAAAATGAAATTTTGAGTTTCTATCTGATCTCTAAAACCCACTTATACTGTACTTGTTTAATATAAACTCTACCCCTAAAGCTGACCCCTAACGCTAAAAAAAATGCTCCAAAATTTTGTAGCTTGTTTATTTTACACAATACTATACAGTTATTGCATGAGAAGTATGCTGTATTTTATAGATGATAATGATTTGTTAAAATTACGTGACATTGGTGGAATAAGCTTTTTTGCTATCACGGATTTTTCAAATTCGTGTAACGTAGATCATTTCTCTTTTTGGGTCGTCTAAAGCCAGGTGCGTCCACGTGACTTACGACCAATCAAATCGTAAAATTTGATTTACCTGGATCCAGTGATGGGTTCGGACAGTGTCCCAAGCTTTTTTTGCTGTGTCCCAACGTCCCAATGTCCCAGTGTCCCAAAATGTCCCAACTAAGTCCCCAAGTTTTAATAATTAATAAGTTAATTTAAAAAATATACAATTATATATTTTTTATGTACATACTGTATATATGCAGTGCCTTTTTTTTTTTATTTTTAAAAAAAATCAAAGTAGATTATTTTAATAAAATTTTGAGTAATTTTAATTTATAAAAATGTTCTACAATGTCCCAAAATGTCCCAACGCATGTCCCAACTGTCCCAAACCCATCACTGCCCGGATCAATCCGACAAAGAAAAAAAGAAACTACTGTATATAGTGTCTAAATCTGCCTCGGGGCACTAATAAAAAATGTCGAGAAAAAAATTTTATTTATAAGTCCTGCCCTAACTTTAACTTCTTACCTTAATTTTAATTAAATAATCAAAAACATATAAATATACTGGGCTTTTGCTATTTCCTCTTTTTGGAAGCCAGATGCATTCATGTAACTTACTACCAATCAAGTTGTAAATTTTGATTTACCACAAAGAAAAAAAAAGTGAAAATACGAGAAATGAGTATCTAAACCTGCTTTAGGGCACTAATATAAAATGTTAGAAAGACAATTTTACCTATAAACCTTGTCCTAACCTTAATCTCTAACCAACATTAAATGAAAATTTAACTCGAGAGTTAGTTATTAATATATTAAAAAAATTTCATAAAATATAGTAGGAATTATGCAATAACCAACATGCAATACACTTTTATTTTAGCGACGAAAGTAGACAAAAATCATTTTAACGTACAAATTTGTACGCTGGACGGTTTAATGAATAATGCTACAACAGTTAGTTAGTCCTTCAGACATTAAATTGATGGTTTTTTGTTCTGTTTAAATTCTTTACTATACAAATAAACTACATGTTATTTTATGTAATTTACTCACGTGACTGTATAAATGACGATCATTTGATCTAACCAATCAAATTAATTTTCCCTACGCCTTGAGTGTACAAGCCAAATGATAAGTTTAATATTGAGGCGAGAAACATTTACCTATCAATTAGCAAAAAAGTTTTGTTTCAATTTTATTCACGTCGTTACCAACAAATCGACATTTAAAATGACAAAACAAACTAAACTAGGGTAAGTCAATTCTTTTGGAAATAGTAAATATCTAAATCTGACGCGTCATACACTTTATACAAAAGCGCGTTTTTCAAGCCAAAAACGGAGGGGAATATGGATTTGGATACAAGTAACGGACGGGGTTTCAAAACTAATCGTAAAAGGGAGAGAGAGAAAGCAGAAGATGAAGAGGAAATCGACAGACTTAAAGTCAAAGCAAAAAAGCGTGCGACTATCGCTATAAACAAAGGAAAAGGGGAGTCTCAAAAGAAGATGGGATTAAAAATAGAAGAAGAAGAATTGGAGCCCAAAGCTGTTGAAGAAAAAGTTCAAAGTGAAGGAGAAATCGATGTCAAAAATGATGATGAGGGCATCGATGCTGAGAAGATTACTAATTTGTAAGTAAATTTTACATTATGAATTTGAATTTAGAAAGTTTGTTTTATTCTCACATAAAATTGTTAATTCGTTCCGGTTTCACAGAGTAGAACGAGCATCCACAAAAACCTCAGATATAGATTGGGAAGCAGGAAAACCGTAAGCTACTAAATATTAATATGAATAGTATCGGTGCTCTTGTTTATTATTGTAATCTATTTTACAGTGTTCCTTATGCTGCTCTTTGTAAAACCTTTGAAAAAATCGAGGCAACGACAAAGCGGCTCGAAATACAAGAACATCTGACCACGTTTTTCGTACAAATCATCGAAAATAACCCTGACAATTTATTGGAGACTTTATATTTGTGTCTCAATCGGGTAAAGCTATGAAAGCTGTAATTGGCACACATTAATTCGTCAAATAAAAAATTCGATTATTTATGTTAGTATAAATTTCCTTGCTCTTAAACCATCACATTGTTTAGATTTGTCCTGAATATGAAAATCTTGAATTGGGTGTCGGTGAGTCTTTATTAATAAAATCTATAGCCGAAACGACTGGCAGAAAAACATCAAAGGTGAAAGAAGAATTAGCAAAATGGGGTGATTTGGGAAAAGTTGCTAAGGTAATTAACTTTTTTTGCCTTTGGCTTTTATGATTCGTCTTGCATTTTTATTTATTCAATTATTTTTGGTTTGTTATTGAAGGATAGCAAAAATACTCAACCAACGTTAGTCAAGCCGAAACCTTTAACAATTCCAGCAGTTTTTAGCAAAATGAAAAGTATCGCAAACACCAATGGACACGATGTAACGTTTGTTTCAAAAAAAAAAAAAAAAAAAAAAAAAAAAGGGATCCAATTATTTGCCCAACATTTATTTGCCCGACAATCACTTGCCCAACAATATTTGCCTGACAATCACTTGCCCGACATTTTTAAAATATTAAAGTGATTGTTAGTAAATAAAGATGTCGGGCAAGTGATTGTTGGGCAAATATTGTCGGGCAAGTGGTTGTCGGGTAAATAAATGTCAGGCAAATGATTAGGACCCAAAAAAAAAAAAAGATTTACATAGTAATAATCTATTTTTAACATCTGTTTTTAAGTCTCAGGAAAGAAAGATCCGAGACATAAAGTTTTTGCTTACAGCATGTCGAGGTGATGAAGCAAAGTACTTAATCAGGTAAATAGCATAAATAAGTCAGTGTTGATATTTGGACAGTCCAACCGTTATATATCCAATTAGCCATTACTATGTCTATATATTGCCCACATTATCTTCAGTTAGTCCAAATGCCAACACTGAAATGGACATATTTGATGCATGTATGGTTCAATTGTTAAATTAAATTGACATTGGTCAGGTCTCTTGAAGGAAAGCTTCGCATTGGACTAGCAGAACAGACAATTTTGATATCATTGGCACAGTCAATTGCTTTAAAAGATCCTGGTGAATAATTTAATATTTTATTATTTATGAACTTAAATTTGAGCTAATTGTTGTCATTATAGGATATCAAAAACTATCCAAAACTTTAAAAGCGGAAGAATTGACGGCTGCAGCGGACATTGTCAAATCTGTTTATAGGTTTGATTAGTATTTTATTATATATTCCAAATGATATATGGTTCGCGCTATTCTAAAGTACTGTCTCTATAGTGAGGTCCCCTCTTATGATATCATCGTTCCGATTTTATTGAAAATAGGAGTGAAAGGTCTTAGGGAAAATTGTAAATTGACGCCTGGTAAAATTTTTTACAAATTTATGTGATTAATTTGCATAGGATAGATGATAATATATACCATAAATTAGGTATTCCACTCAAGCCGATGTTAGCACATCCAACCAAGAGTATTACTGAAGCACTTGATAGAGTTGAGGGACAAACATTCACATGCGAGTTTAAATATGATGGTGAACGTGGGCAGGTATGTTTTTTCAATGTCATGCTCAAATTATAATAGCATCATTCATTTATAACTAACTGTGATGTTAATATTTGAAATATAGATTCATATGTTAGAAGATGGTACTGCAAAAATTTATAGCAGAAATTTGGAAGATAGTTCTATGAAGTATCCTGATGTTTTAGAGATACTTTCCAGTGTAACGATGAATTTGCTATTCTCTTGTGTTAAAGAATGTCGGGACAATTAATTTGATAATTTAATGTAATTATACATGTTGTCTATTATATAGATCGTGAAATCTGATACCAAAAGTTTCGTGCTTGACTGCGAAGTCGTAGCATGGGATCCGGAAAAAAACTGCCTTCTGCCTTTCCAAATTCTGAGCACACGAAAGAGAAAAGACGTAAAAGAATCAGATATAAAAGTTTGCGTGTGTCTTTACGCGTTTGACTTGCTCTATCTGAATGGAGAGGTAAGTTCGTCAACTTCATGACATTTATATCATATAAATCATTTTTCATATTATAGTATGTTTAATCAAATAATTTAAATGTAATTTTATCCAGTCACTACTTCAAAAATCTTTTGCAGAACGGCGCGAATGCTTGTACAACGCGTTTCAAGAAATTGAGGGTAAATTCGCATTTGCACGTTACATGAATGCCTCAAATGTTGAGGAAATACAAGCTTTTCTTGACGAAAGCGTCAAAGGAAGTTGTGAGGGACTAATGGTGAAAATACTAGATGGTCCTGAGTCACGATATGAACCTTCAAAACGGTCGAGAAATTGGTTAAAGGTATGTAGAAAATTATTCACTATAAGTACGCGTTAATTCAAGATCGCTAAATTTATTATTCGGATTTCAGATAAAAAAAGACTACATTAGTGGTGTTGGAGACTCTTTAGACCTTGTCGTTGTCGGAGCATACTTAGGACGTGGAAAACGTACCAGCGTATATGGCACGTTCCTTCTTGCTTGTTATGATCCCGATAATGAAGAATATCAAACAATCTGCAAAATCGGAACAGGTTTCTCTGACGCGTCACTGGAAAGCCATTTTAAGTTCCTTAAGGAACATGAAATACCTGAACCAAAAACGTATTATAATTACGATAAAGGGGCAAAACCAGATGTTTGGTTTGAGCCTTGTCAAGTCTGGGAAGTAAAAACTGCTGATCTTAGTATTTCCCCTATTTATAAGGCGGCTTTAGGAAAGGTGTGCAATAATCATTGTTTATAATTTGCAATTATTACAAACTTAAAAATTTAAAATTTCTAGGTTGACCCATCTAAAGGTGTGTCTTTACGTTTTCCACGGTTTATTCAGATACGAGAAGATAAAAAGCCGGAAGATGCAACTTCAAGTGATCAGGTAAAATCTATACAACGGCATACTGATTATTGCAACAAAATAACTTAATTCATTTTGAATATTACTATGGGTATTAGGTTGCTGATATGTACAGGTCTCAGTTTAGAAACGAAGAATAGGTTTTATTATGGTGCAATAAATATATTGGTTATAATTAAATAGTACAAATAATCGTTCTAGTTATTTTTGAAATTAAATCATGTTAAAAGATTTATTTTGAGATATACATTTAACAACTTCATAATAAATTGTCAAAAATTAGTTATAGATTCTTAGTTTACTTAAAATTCTATGATCTAATTCTGGATTTTCAAGGGTTCCTTTTAAGAACTTTTTTTCATCTATACCAAGATTTAAATCGTCATCTGTAAATTCCCTTGAGTTTTTTAATGCTACTTTAACCGTATCCTCACCGGCAATGTCAAAATTTAAGTAGGAATTAAAGGCATGATACATTCTCAATGGTAGGTATTTCCATCCAATCCTGTTATAGAAACGAATATATCCAATCGGTTCAAGCTCAGGAATAGAAAACTCATCTTGTTTAACTACCTGGAAGCTGCTTAATGAATCAGACATAATATTTTCAGACCTTACTGTCGATGAAATTGAATTATTGTTATCATTTTTCACGTCTTGTTCATTTGATATTGTTTCTTGAGAGTCCGTAAGTGAGGAAGTACATCCATCATTTAACCCTTGTAAATATTCAACCAGACTAACACGACCAACAACAATGATGCCATCTCCATCTGTTGTGTTTAACAAATGCGGTGCTTGATGCGTATTATTAGACTCGATACCAGTTGGAGTTGATGTTTTTGCAGCTTTACGCTTCTCTATTATTGCATCTCGTACTTTGGAACGAAGTTGTCCCGGCTGTGTACCTTCAACGAGCTCATATTCCATTGCTGCAGCAACAAGGACTGGCTATTGCAGGAAGCAAATTTATAATTGAGAACAAAAATGATAATAATCCAACGATTTCATTTATAACACTATCTAATTAGGTAAGCGGTTTGTTAAAAAAGAAGAAAAAAAGAAAAAAGTATGTAGTATAATAGGATCTTTACCTTGACATATTCTCGAAAATGAACCCTCGTCTTATGTATTCCATCACCTAACGGCGGTGCTAAATATACTGTTACTTTACGTGGTTGCTCATTTACGCTCATAGGCTCCAAAGCTATATGAGCGACTTTTTGTTCAACAAGATTTTTTCTTTCTTTGGACAACACATTATCACGATAAATTAAACCAGGTACAGCAGCACATACGCCAAAAAAAGCCAATACTTTTTTAGATGGTAGTTTTAAAGAAGATAATTTGAATGACATCTTTTGTAAAGACCATCTATACTTTCCATGCGGATGATAGTCATTTATCTAACGCTAAGCCTCCCGATTATCGATAATCTGAAGGATCATCCTGATCATCCTAATCATCCTACGTACGTACGTACGTACGTACGTATGTATCGGTATTATATTCCGTAATTATCACAAACATAAAACTTTAATGTCCAAATCGTTTTCCTTAGAATCAGTTGTCCGTCCAAATATTCTTTCTCTTGTTCCGTATAGATGCGCAAGGGATGACTATGGCACTGGAATTCTCCTTGATGCCAACGAAAACTCTTTTGGCTCTATTCTTCAAGAATCTTTACTAGTTGAAGATCTTCATAGGTATCCCGATCCAAACCAAGTATTAATAAAAGAGAGACTTGTCTCTTTTCGTGGCCTACAGTCGATTGATTACTTTTTTCTAGGAGTAGGTTCCGATGAAATTATTGATCTAGTGATGAGGATATTTTGTGTTCCTGGAAAGGATAAAATCATAATTACACCACCAACTTATGGAATGTACTCTGTTTGTGCTAAAGTTAATGATATCCAAATAATTAAAGTGAATTTGGATGTTGAAGACGGGAAATTTCAATTAAAACCGGATAAAGTACTTTAAATTTTTAGACAAATTATTTTTTTTAAAAAAACTGCGTCATCTAATGCTTGTTACTTAGATCTCCGAGGCATTATCCGAAAATCCTTC